TCGTCCCGGTCGGTCTCATTAGTCGCTTCGGCGGATAAATTACAAAAAGAAAAAAAAATGAACGAGCCCGTTCGACACGTATTTGCATTGTGAGATAATATTTCTCAGGTCACGCGCGCACTTTTTGCCGGAAACGATAAATAAAGATAAAACGAACCGGAAAGAGCAAGACGGAAAGACCCAGAGGTGGGCTATCTTTATCCAAAGAGAGAGAGAGAGAGGAAGGTGACATAATATTACATAGAAATCGAAATATGACAAATGACCGACAGCGTAAAAGAACTTTACACCGGTCTGAAGAAAGCTGTCCCCGAAGTGACGGACATTACAAACACACAGACAGATAAGACGGAAATTAAATGCTGGTTCGAAACAGTGAGAGAGAGAGAGAGATAGAGTGCGTTTATCACACCCAGATACGTCTAAGCCTGAAAATTGAAAACCAGCCAGGCAACCGTTAACGGTACATACAACAACGCCGGAGAGATTAATCGAAAAATTATGTTTCTCGCTGTAAAATAAGTAACCAAGATAACAAGAGATGTATATTATTCACTCGCGTCCACGGCGGCAACGTCGTTTTAAGAATATACCCGTTCAATAATAACGATAATAATAATAATACATTCCTTTTGATGTCAAAAAAAAAAAAAAAATAGCTCTAAAACTCCGGATAACGAGCGCAACCGTTTAACGTTGATTATAATAACGGCTTTGAGTTTGACCGAATTTGTTTTCGAAAACTTCCCAAATGTAAGTAGGTAACTCGCTCAAGTTTTTCGCTCGGCTCTCGAAAGTTTAAACTTACCAGACGAGTTGTGTCCTAACACACATAATAATTGTTACGCAATCAAGTGGTGGGCGTGTGCTCGAAGGGTTTCTCCGACCAACGCCACCACCGGTCGCCGTTAAACCTCATTAGGTAACCCCCTTGAGTAGTGGATGGTGGTCGACTGTATTTTTTTTACCTACCTTTCGCACTTAACCCTTTCGCCATGGGTGCCATTCTAAAGCGGATAATTCACCGACAATCCGATTGACCACCGGCGAAGTCCGACAAAAGTCGATTGCCAATATCATTTGCACGCGGTAACGTATCGTTAGACTACTTAGCGCACGCATTACGATCACCTTCGGGTAAGCCGCTGACGGAAATAGATTGTCAAACATTATTATGCCAAGTAACACGAATTTTGAGTGTAGGTAAAGAATGATGGTCACAAGGCAAATTTGGAAAATCCCTGGATCGCTGATATAAGATCGTTGTTTAACTAAGACGCGTCACTTTGATTCCTACAAGGGAAAAATGGAATTCCATAACGTTATAATTATTGAATTACAGAGCTCATTAAAATACTAAAAAGCTATGTTTTCTTACTATGTTTGTTTTTAGTGACATAAATAAAAATCCTTTGCGCCTTACAAGAATAAAGATATACATTCTTTTAATAATAGAAAAAATATACATTAAAATAGGACCTCTCTACGAGACGTGAGGCCTTTTCCTTCCATGGTCATTATTCACCACGCTATAACTCATACAAGACATTGTAAACGTTAAAAAGAATATAAAACCCTTAATAGCCAACACACGCGTCATAACCTGGAAAACAAGTTGACATGATAGAAATGCATTAAAACAAGTTGTAAGCCAATCATCGCTCTCACTCCTACCATAACCATATATATTCACTGTTCTTCTATTAGAGGTATCTTGTCTAACCAGCGTGTAAATGTCTATAAGAGGCAGCCGGAGGAGGGTGGCGGCAAATATTAGCCTTGAAATAATTTAAAAGGAGATATTTTACACGTCGCGCAAGTACAATATACAATTCTAGATAAGATATAGATTGCCGACGTTTCTTCACGTTATATACAACAAAAACCATATGGTTTAAAACCGACACACGAGCAAGCGCAGTGCGGATGATTGTCAGTCCCCCTAAAGACATGTGCAGACCGCATCTTGCTCGCTTAGATGGAAACAAAAATAAAGAAATACCATTTCGGCTGGTGCGTTATTGTGGGTCGGCACTCGGAATGTGTGTCTGTGCGACCGAATTGGACAAAGGGTAGGAAAAAAAAAGAGTGCTTTTCGCGGTTAAAAATCAAATCCCAAAAGAAAGAAAAAACAACTCTCCGACCGTTTATATATTGTCCAGACCAAACACAAAATCCACCGGGATATAAACGAAAATCCGCAAATTGTACGGACACACTCCGGGTGACGACAATCGACGGTTTCAAACGATCTTGGGTGTATCAAACAAAGAGGGTGCTTTTTTCTCTTCAAAAAAACCAAACTCTATAATACACCAAAGTGAGCCCCGCGTGCGGTTAACTCGAGTGAACAACGGAGAAACTTTTCGGGGTGCGCGTTTTGTTTTTGCCGCCACTGCAACGATTCAACGGCGGCTATATTATATTGTTATAATAGCTGTGTACATGAACAATCACTGTACATAATGTCGGCGGGCCAACGCAGTAAATCGGGCCTTATCACGCGATTATTCGCGAAAATTATACTGTAAATCGGGTCACGTGTAGCAATCGTGTATTGCATGCGACCGCGTCGATAATGTACACATTTGTGTATATATAATGGCATGTCCTATTCGTCGTATACGTGTACACGAGGTAATTTCGATCGAACTTCGATCGCGTGCTACCGCCTGTATAAATAAAATATCGTATCCCGTTCGGCCAAGGTAAGTAAGGCACGCACCGGCCAAAGTCGTTTCGACTACACCTCCAGTACAATAAAAACTTTTTTGTATAATTCAAAATGTTTCAAATCGACGATAACTCTACAAATCGCATCGTGTCCGCCGCTTGAAGTACATATATTCGCCATCTTATCGCTTGGCCCGCAGGTAGGTGGTAGACAGCTGTGTGATAGACACACTGCAACACTCGAGCCCGTAAATCATATTAAAAAAACAACCAAGAAGCTAGGCTTTAGAGCGTACAAAACTCACTTTTCGTCAACACATCAGTTGCGGCGAAAACCGATAATATTTCTCTCGTAATCAAATAAATAAAATACTCCAAAATCGTATGATTTTGTAGACGAATCAGCCCCCCCCCTCGCCCCTTCGAAAAAAGAGAACAATCCACCGAGGGGACAATGATAGAGAGTGAATGGCGAAACCAAAGAGAAAAGAAAAAGAAAATATAATATTTCCCACGCGGAAAAACTTTGACCGCCGGCTAGAGAGTGTCTCTGGGGACGACGCGTATCGAACAAGGCTTTTGACGATAAGTTAATTCAATATCGTGACCAGAAACTGTATAGGCGCAAACACACACACACACACACACCGCTGTTTCTATTTTCTCCAAACAAGGAAACGTCATCGAGCAGCAGCAAACACGAGTGGCGGTGCGGTGAGCACCTAAAAACGCATTACAAGAAACCATCGACCGACTTCGGGCAAGTCTATCGTCGGATACGTCAACCGATCGACCGTATTGTTAAAACGGCCTCACTCGAACAAAAAGCTAGCCCGGACCGTCGGTGAAGAGCTTCCACTACCACTGCGTCTAATGGATTGTTTGTATGCACTTACGACGAGGGTCAGTTACACTCAACGTTTCAACGATGCTCAGAATCTTGTGATCATTGGGCAAAATCTACTTACAATAATTAATCAATAACGATTATTCTTCGAGACTATCATCTTGTTCGATCATTTTAATTTGAGTTGAAAATAAAACTCTCAGACCAAAGGGATCCGGTCTGTTTGGGTTGGCGGTTGAGCTGAAGCGCGCCCTACTTGCTTTGTCTTTGAAACTGCACTCACGACCGGTATCGTTAGACGATTGTCTCGCTTCAATGCGTAATCGACTTGAAGACGGCTATTTTGAAAATTATACAAAACAAAATCAATAGCTTAGCTGTGCGGAAACGAGTAAATGTGATGTTGACAAAACCAATTTGTATTTTCAGGGAACAAAAATATTAACCGAACTATCTTAGTAACGAGTATCTCTAAGTCTTAGAAGGTTCGAGCAAACAATACCTAGAAACCGTTTAAAGGGTACTTTGTAAAAGTCTCCAATAACAAAACAAGCAAACGCTGCTGTTACACGAACGTTCGGGGAAATGCGGTTTGAACTTTTCAAGCCAATCTCTGCACGAACGGATAACTTCTGGCGAATAGTGTGTCGAAAACGACAATTCGTGGACTAATTGTTTGTGCAGTTTTGTACAAGATTGCTTTTAGGCCTCCGTCGACTCTCCGTTGCAGTTATCCGATACACCGACCGCCGTGCCGTTTGATCGTTAAGAAAATGTGTATTTAATAGACATTGGAAAGACGGCTGGAACCGACCTTTTTAGATACACAACAGCTCTGCCAAAATGTAACTACTGTAACACGCTAAAGCTAGTTGGGGCCGACGGTGCCGAGAGTCTAACGTCGACGTGCAACCCTCAGGTTTGACCCCTTTTAGCAACAAATGCGTTGAACTTGCACAATGCTCGGATAACGAACAATACAAGCGTGCCACACGCCGTTTTGTCGGTGAAAACAAGTACTACGAACTTTGGATAATGATCATTAATCGAAATGCGTTTCTATCACGCACACACTTGGATTGCGACTAGACGTTTTCAAATTGCGCAAAGAGTCCAGACTAAACGCGAATACGGTGTAGTAAACTTTACCGGAGGAGGTATTTGAAAGATGAACAATAAATTGTGATGTTTGTCATTCTCGTAAACGTATCGATCAAACAATCACTAAGATTTAAATGATATTTCGTTGAAACATGCTTAGCCTTTAGTAGTGCAGTCAAATGCACCGACTATCGCGTTGCGAGGGACGTATAACACATAGCTTTTTTTTTTTTTCGTCATCACGCTCTCTCGAAACTGTCGAGGGTGCATAATGAAAAAAATCACGAGTGCATTGTTTTTGCAACAATGACGGGCAAGCTGACTCTCGTGTAGTGGTACAACAATAATAAGCAATAACATAGTCGCGTGCACTACTCACTGAGTGTGGCGTTGTTGAGCTTGGTCTGGTCCACTTGACCCCTGAGGGCCCGGAGTTTCCGGAGCTTCTGTTCCTGCGCCTCCACCCGGTCACGGAGCCGGCGGAGCCGCTCGTGCTCAGCCGCCACCTGATGGTGTTTGGTGTCATGCTGTTTCAAGAACCGAAGTCGCTGCTCCTTGGCCGCCAACAACTGCCTCTGCGACTCGATCTGGTGCTGTTGTCGACAAGCCATCTCTTCCAGCTCCCGGACCGTCAGCTCTGTACTTTCGCCCGACGTTGGTAACTGCAACGAAACAAAATAAATCATTAATACTGAATTGCACCTTTTTTCTTTACATGCTTTCGACTGTGGTTGTGGACACTGTCAATCATTAGGCATTCAAACGACCAATGCCCATTTAGAACAAACGCAAAACCCTGAATTGTCACTTTCTGGGTGAAAAATTCACAAAATATAGTCAAATTATAGCTTATTGTAATAGATTTCGGCCGCGCCGCACGAGTACACGAAAAAAAAAAGGTTTTTTAATTTAATTACAAGATTTCCATCACGGAACAAACAGGTTTTCTCCAGAACTCTTGATTCGACTTTAATTTTCGCATAATACCGTTGCTCGCGTTAATGCACTCCATACTTGACGACAATTGGAGTGTTTTATTATGTAAAATTACTTTGCGTCTCGCGCTTTTGTATTGAATCCCGGCACGCTCATAACACTTGAATGAGTATAAAAGCGATGGGGTGTTTGAAAAATGATCGAAACTCTCACTAAGTAAAACAGCCGCACGCACTACCGCACTTATCAGTTATGAAAAGCGCCACGGATAGAACAAAACTCGGAAGTAATTAAAATATGTTTTCAAGACTGTTCGAGAGATATTCGGTTTTTTTAATGATGCGCAACAACGTGTGACGAGATCGAGAAAAAAAACTGCATTAATAATAAAAACAGCGCTACGAAAAAAATATATCCTAGGAATGTGTAAAACGGTGAAGTCACATTGTTAATTGCAGCAACAAACACAAACGAGGGCACGCAAAATAATAACAACCAGAGAGAGAGATAGGATAACAAGTATAATATTTCAGCCAAATGGCGCGAAAATTATTGTCAGCGCCTGTAATTACTTTTATGGCTCATCCCGAGTACAACTTGCCCGCGTTAACTGCCTATTATTCATTGTATACAAGGCGGAGACGCTGCTACTCGTGTCTTAAACGATTGTTAACGTAATTAATCGGTTCGTATCAACTGTAATCAACATTTTTACAACGTCCCGGCAACAGTAAAGAGCTGCAAGTTTGTTTGACCTTGGGAAAACCGACTTCGCGGGGACAGCAACACCCTGCCGGATGTCAATAACCACCATAGGCGGACCCTGCAGCTAAGACGGTTTGGCATTGTGATTGATTTGGTGTCGACGGATCTCGCAAATCAATCGGTCACGGGTTCGCACTTCTCGCGGTCTGACCAAAAGTCAAGACTGACGGTGACGACAAAGAAAAGCGCCACGTCCGGTTGACAAAAACCGGCATCGACGACGGACAGGACAAAAGGTCGAAGGCAGACGGTAAGGTTAGCACAGTCGAGTCAGACCAGTAGTACCATGGGAAAAGTTCGACTTAAACGAACCGAAGGCCGTAGACCGAAGGGTCTCGAAACGCCATTTTGATTATATGTATTCAAAAACTTTGCAGAGTACTATATATAATTTCTGCAATCCGTTATCTGTCGGTCGCGCGTTTTGTACCCACACTTTTTGCCGAACCCCGCGGTTCCACTTTGTCGGATTAAAATCACCCAAAATTTCGGTCGGCGCCGAGAGATAAGCAATAATAACTTTGCGGCCGCCCATTCGTACTGTCTTGTTTCAACAAAAAAAAAAAAACCACCAACCAGCATAACAATTGATCAAAAAGATAATAAAGAAACGAACGACGAACCAACGTCGTTGTTTTATGCAAATCTTTACTGAGACGGAATCAGAGTTGACAATAACGCAGTATTTTTTTTTTTTTTTAAAGCCCGACCCAAGTAAGTTTACTTGGCGTGGGTTAGTCGAAGACGCTTGATTAGAGGTCGAATATACGTTTAGCGGACAATATATTCATAGTTTATATAACTTTTGGTACAAATCACCGCTATATATTACAAGTCGTGTCAACAGAAGCCCTGAGATTCACATATCCTTCAATGGCGTAGACATCAACTCGGCAATGGTTATCACTTATCAGCAAAATTATATTGTCATGATAATGCAAATATTTGATATTTCACAATGCCGCTTCATAATACATTATTCACTGTTACCAACAGCTACCGCAACGATTGTTATTGATCGACTGTCATTAGATACCGTGATACCCTTAGATCATATATTATAACAGATGTAGTCATGATATCGCCCCCCCCTCCTACTTTTTACTATAATATGCGGTATATGGTAAATAATCTAAGATGCACGTCGATTAGTAGTCTCGTTATCATCCTAACATTACTTTAGGTCGGCATGTCCCGTTCATATCTGCCAATGAATAGCCCACACTTGACTAGCTGACGAAGTGAGTTCCTGAAAACTTGTGTTAATATTTTTTTTCGGCAAGTTTGTGGAAATCGTACAAAAGATTCATAAAAAGAATTGATCGTTTTCACGGCAGATTTACCGAGGCGTGTTACATGTATGTTGTATTGCTGTGAAATCTGAAAAAGGGGACGTTTTGTCGTGTGCCATATATATATATATATGAGATATTACACAAAGCAGCAGCAGCAGACGTTATCTGCCGTTCCTCAACCGTCATGCGTACCCTCGGCGAAAACGGCAAGCATAAAATAATAATAATAATACAATATCAAAGGACAACAACGCCGCGTTTTCAGCCGAGTTCGTCGTGCGCGGTGTACACGCGAGTATAGTTTCGGTCTTATCTCAAGAGTGAAAAATCAATTTTTTCCCGGGAGAAAAGCAAAAAATAAATAAGAAAAACGACGGAAGGTTTATTCTACTTAAAAAAAAAAAAAAATCAGGGGCGTTTATTATTATATTCTCTTCTATGAAAGTGCACACGGCCGAAAACGTTTCTTCTGTATAATATATTATACGCTATATACACATACCCGCGGCCGGATTTACCCCTATCCCCCCCACGATAATGCGTTCTTTCTTGTCGTCCTGTATATATAAATCTTCGCTCACCCACACGCAGCACATAGATAAAAAAAAAATTGTAGTGTATCTCTATTCATTTTCGGCAAACACAGCTTTGTTTATTATGATTTTTTTGTCCCCTTCGATTTAATTTGTCGGAGTGTTTTGCGCGTTAAAAAAAAAAAATACCACGACCAAATCCTCCTCCGGTAACACAATTCACTACAACCACCGACTGGCTTTGTAGTCGAACATCCGTTTACCTTCCATTTCCGCCGTTTGCCACTGCTTATAAATGTATTCATACGGGCGCCAAAAAGAAAATACTCCAGACGTAAATCAAGATCAGCAGCCGTACGAAAACCCCGACTATATTATAATAATGGCAAACATAAACGTTTCTCTAAAAACACTTTTCGATGACATCGCGTGGCGCAATGTAAATCAATTTGATTCTCCACCATCTCGCTCACCCCTATTTTTCCGCCATATGCAGAGTTGATTGACAAACTGCGTGCCGGTGGGGGGGGGGGGGTGAATTAGTCGTTCCTTGAGGGGCTACCGTTCAAAGGGCTTCCCGTTATTAGTTCAAACAACAACACCGAAACGACAAAGGGTAGAGGACGTGAAGAAATTCTCTTCAATTACTCTGGTCGGCCGAACTCTGCTCGAGTATTACCTTAATAAAATAATACTAGAAGAGAAAAAATAAATATAATATAATATATAGAGCGCGAGGCGGATTAGGTGAAGCGAAATTTTCAATCTATCGTACATTTTTTTTTTTTTAATCATCGAAGCAAAAAAACACCACAACGGTATAGCTGTATATTTTTTTCTACTCGGTTTATTTATTTATTTTTTTTTTTTTGTTAACGTTATTAAAAAAGCACACTCGCTCGACAAACGAAAATCACCGAAAGCTTAAACACGTGTAAACGCCAAAGGTCATCGAAGAGACTGGAAAACGAGACCTCGTTTGGTATATTTAAAAAAAAAAACTCTCGATTGTACGTTTTTACTAGAGACCTTGTGTGACCTTGTCTGACGGACCGTGCAGGGACGAGGTTAGGTAACCCGTTTAATTTGTCCGGCGACAATGAAATGCACCGCGGTACATAAATCATACCGCGGTCGGCCGCAAAGGGAGTTAATTAAACGGTAGCGCACTGTCGTGGCATTTATAAACGCCTATGACCGGCTTTAACGACTCGTCTCGACTTTTAAACAAGTCAACCGCCGGCGTTTGATGCCAAATTTGTAAAACGTCGCCGTACGACAATTTTTCTAGTTAATATCCAATTAACTATACACTCGACGTACAACAACGTTTGTACGGGCAATAAAAAACGTCCGGAATATAAGAGAACAGGCGTGCGTTGCATATTATATATAAAAAAAAAAACAACACCAAAGGCGACAACCATGCGAAACCCGAGAACGTCGGTCTGGGAACGCGTCCGAGCAATATATATTATAATGTACAGATTTTTTTTTTTTAAGCCTTAAAAAGTGTACCCGCCGCACTCCTTGCGGCGGTCGTGTAACTACTTATAACAACGCCTGCGGGGACTGCGGATCGGACAATTGATTTTTATAGGTCCCCGGCCGGCCGCGGCAAGTATGACACAAAATTAATAAGGAAAAAAATAACATAATAATAATAACCTTGTCGTTTTTGTTGGCGAACAAGAAAAATGATAATATTTTAACCGATAACCCAAACGCCGCGTACTACACAATGGAAATGAGTACGGCGGTTTCGCGACCGTTGGGTTTTTTTTAATAAAATCTAAAAAAGGGAAAAAAAATCTAATAACAATAAAGCGAGCGAACATACAAAGGCCGTCCGTTTAAAAGGACGTTGTCCGTCGCGCCTGCTGAGAAAATATTTTCTTAAGCAGACTTCTTCGATATTTCCAATGCGTCTGAAAAATAATGAAAAAACACAGATGACCGAAACCGAAATGAAGTGTATCCGAATGAACGACATAATGCATACATGGATTCTGCAAAGAATTCACATTAGAAGAAAATGATAAGCCGAAATTGCTGACACCCCACGTCCATCGAAAATCAAATTGACTTCATTAAAATGTCAATGTTCCTTAATAAACAGTAATATTTTTGCGG